GATAAATTCATCAGAACAAAGCTCACTTCTGTTGAAGTGTTGCTTTGAACTGGAGTGCCACGAATGTTGTTCTGTACAACCCAAACAACCAGGTGAGCTATGAATGGCCAACTCCCATTGGAAACAAGCATGTACAGACTTTATAGTTCAGGTTAGCAAAATCTAGTAGCTGCTCATGCAGTCAATGCTGTATTTTAATGGCACTGATGTGCACCTTGCTAACCTGTTGTGGCAGTGTCATCTCCCGATGATACTTGTGTAGGTACTGAAGCATAGTTTCTGTGCGGGCTGTGCTATTCTCTTGCTTAGCATCGTGATGGAGGTTCTCAAATTTTTTCATTCCATGGGGTTATGGAGTGGGAAAGGCTGAGAACTCTGTGCTGAAGGGGTGAGGGTGCTAACTACACTTTGTCATAAAGATAGTCTGAAATGCTGGTATGGAAGCCTGGCTAATGTGTAAAGGTCTTCAGGGTGTGATAACTTCGAAACAAGTCGTCTTGTAATTCATGCTAATAAACACCTAGTATATCATAATTGAGCTATTAAAATGCACTTTCTGTGATTGAATAAGCTATTGTACAAAAGAAATGGCTGTAATGCCTTCATGTAAAAAATAAAGGGATGTGCCAGTAACGTTTGTGAAGAAGTGAGGCTTTAATAAACCCCCAGTTCAGTCTTTTAATGTGAGTTCTTATCTTCCTCTCACTCATGTGTTTATCTTCCTGTTTTGACAAGAACCTTCTTGAAGTGTAAGGCATCACTATGGGGCCTGTGCTTGCTTCCTTGTGGTTCGTTAAAAACCAAAACAAAACCAAACAACCCCCCCCAAATTCCTCTCAATGCTATTTTTAATGTGGTATAACTTAAATGCTTGACACAGATAATACATTGGCTAGAAGGAATAGTAACATAAGCAAGTTGAATGACTTTGGTGCCGAATTTTTATGTATGAATTAGTTATGCTTCCTGTGCACCTGAGCTGAACAACTGTAGTTCCTCCATGAAATCAAAAATTACATAGCAGAAGGACGAAAACATTATTGATGTATAATCACTGTGAAGTTGGATATGGTAGTTTGAGATATTGTCCCTTTGCCAGAAATGCCATTCCTGCTCATTTAAGCTGTTACTAAGCATGTTTTGAGTTAACTAGACTGTGAATTTATAATTAATTGGATGGAGTTATACTTAGTCTGTGGGTGGCAACCTCTGTTAGAGGCATGGTATAAGATACAGGGAATAGTAACATCATGGCTGTTTAACCAGTGATTGTTGGATTGAGGCCGAGATCAAGTTTCTGTTTTCAAGATGCCATATGCTGTCAGGCCCAGGTGTGTGTTAATTTTATTTTTTTCTAGGAAAATTACTATTTGAGCCATTTGAGTTATTAAACATGAAAAAGAAGGTTGTTTCTGGGTAATTTAGAAGCACCTGTAGTTTTAACCTCCTACTTGTCATATGATTAGAACTTAAAAAAAAGGGACTAGTCACTTTGCAAATTACTATTTTGAGATGCAGGAATTCTAGGTGAAAGATAGTGGATGGCTAAAAACATGTTTTATATCATGAAGTATTCATGGTCTTCAGAAAAACATTGTTGGCAACAACAGTGTGAAGTTTGAAACAAGACAATCCTCCCCTTCCCCGTACATGCAGTTCTGTGGTGGTGACCTCTCAGGCACCAGTGGAAATTCTCCTTGCCTACGTAAAGTTGCCCCCAATGTGTATTTATTACTGCTGCTCATTTGGTAAGCACATTTTTGTCTACACTGTTTTAAATTCATCCATTTTTGCATGTTTTAAAAACAAATACATATCCCACACATACTAATATACATAATCCTTTACTTATAATCCACACTTAAAATCTTTTTGATTCAACCAGTCTCCCTCTTTTCTGTATATCTGAGTTTCTTAATGCAGATGAAAAAACTCTTGAGTGCGTGGGGGTGCTCTTTCGCGTGGCCTGGCCTGTCATAGGCTGAGTCACATGGACACACTGCGCATGCAAACATAGGTATTGCTCCTCTTTTTCTTTAATGTGCTTTTAATATTTCTTTAGAGGAGAACAAAAATGTTAATAAAATCATTGTGTGTTTTCCCTACTGATAAAATTCAGTTAAAAATATTTTTCTTGAGAGCTACATCTAGCTGATGTTATCTAGAGGGAGAGCTAAAAGATCTTTTTCAGCTATGACTTTCACCCACGTATCTCTGCTGAACTCAGAGTGCAGATTCAGTATTGTAAGAGATGTAATTTTCCTTGTTGGTGATCATTCAGGAAGAAACGTCAGTCTAACCTCAGATTTCAGGCCAGGCTTGCAAAGCCAGCAGGGAATCTGCTACTATAACTGTGAAAAGAAATACATTTCTTCTGGATGCTGTCGGGACCTGAATATTTTGACAGCTATGTCACTTCAAATTTTCCCAGAGTAAATTTCTTTAAGAAAGTCTTTTAAATTAAGTTTATGTGACAGGAAATAGCTAAAATTTGAACACCCAAATGGAACTTTTCTGGCTGGTGAACACGCACTGCATTTGACTTAAGTTCTTTATGAGGATACTAATTCTTAGGCAAAAATAAACCATGCAGCTAGTGAATTAAAATGCTGAGACTTAATTTACATTGCCTAAAAGCCTACTTAGAAAAGCATTTGATCAGCTGTGGTGCTGTGTAGTAATATGATACTTAGGGGTTAGATATTGCTCCACACACTGGTGTGTGTTTGTGATGAAGGTAGATATCTTTTCATACCGTTAGGCTGCAAATCTTGCCTGTCAGAAGTTTGAGTTACTGAACTGCAGATGAGGTGTTTCTGCCTGGACACAGAATAACTGACAGCCTTTTGTTCAGTTATAGGCAACACTGAGAACAGTGCTAAACTTTTGAGTATGTGACACTTGAAAGCTAATCTGGGTTCACAAAAAAATAATGTCCGGGAGCATCTATAAGCCATTGAAGTTTAGAAGGTACTTGTAATTGTTTCAAATAACTCTTCTGTATTTATGTATTGGCTTAGCCTCACAGTTCTTGGTGGGGTTTTTTTTTGTGTACAGAGAAGACAATATATGTGTAAGTAACTGATTTTATAAGGCAGTAAAAACGTGAAAACAAACAAAAAAACCCCTTCTGTATATCTTTTTTGTGTATATCAACCTATGCATTTTTGAGAAGAGGGATTTAGAATGATACTGTACCCAAAGCATTTTCAGTTTAACTAAACCCCCTCTGCCCTGCACTGTTTCAAATTTGAGATCTCCCAGAGGCTATCCAGCAAGCAGACATCTAGCTGATTTCTGTTTTCTGTGATTTTTGTAACCTATAGAAACTTCATGTTCAGTTAGTGTTTTGAGAATTCAGTTAATACTTGTAATGATAGGTAAGCATTATTGTAGTCTTCAGGTAGCAGTTTTTTCTTCTGTAATTAGGCTATAGTCACGGTTGCTTTTAAGTAAACTGAATTGGTTAGAAAGCAATTTCTCTTTGTCAAATAGCAGAATGTGTGTGTGTATATATATGCGCTATGTAGCTACAAAAAACTTCCTTTCTTTTCCTTGCTAATTGCATAAAGAAGCGGCATCTGACAGAGAAACAATGTGAGGCTGTATTACATCTCTCTAAAATTGCCCTTCAAGTCAAGACAGCTTTAGTAAAATCATTACTTTTCTGTCTGAAGAAAAATGATTTTTTTTTTCCTTGCTCAAGCTTGCAAATCTTCATAGGATATCTTCCAAAAAGTTCATGAGCTGTAGTCTAGAAGGGATGGGTACACAGGTGACTGTTAGAGGTGTGGTTATGATTGGAGACTTGTTTTGCAGCATAGTAAATAGCTTGAGGCTTCAGCGTTTTTTAAAAAAAAACCCACCAAACAAACAACAACTGTTCTTGAATCATCTTCATACCTGTATTCCAGTACTTAATTGCATCGCTCCAACCATGCTGTGTATGTCTATCTGGTTATCATTTCACTGCTGATCATTGACTTCTTCCCTATCTTTTAAAGACTGAGGCTCACTTCATTTCTGAACTTAACAGCTGATCATCCTAATGTTCTCTGCTGGGTAGTTGAATTGTCTTTTGTCAGACTTTTTATTTGAGAGTACTAAATATCAGCTGGCTGGCTAATTGAGAAATGGAAACTGGTTTTGATGAATTGGGCAAAGCCCACTGGAATTGTCTGAGAAGATAGTTGTGCATTTTTCAGTGCACATATTTGAAATCAGCTTGTTAATTCTGAAAGCAAGTCTTTTTATTAATATAAGAACTGAAGATGCTGCAGTCATGGCTTCCTTTTAAACCAGTAAGTTATATGTTATAAAAAAAGTAGCTGATTTGTAGAGCTCCTATTTGAGTAAAACTGAAAGCATGGAAACAGTCAAGTTGCAGCTTCAAATTATAATGTGCATTAGAGTGCAATTTCTCTCTTTCTGTCCTTACTAAGTTCTGACAGTGTCGTGAGAAAGTGTTTGGCTAGTCTTATGCAGCATGTTGGGTTTGAAGGAAGACATGGCAACAAGCCAAGAAAGTGAAAATTAGCAAACAAGTATTGACATTTTAATACATTAAGCTACCCTGCAGGGTTGTGTGTTCACTAAATTTTAAACAATTGTTTTAAAAGTAGAGGAATGGGAAATGAAAATAGCACTAGCTCTTCTGACTCTTCGTTGAAGGATGTTATTATCGTATCCCAGTACATTCTAGCTGCTATGGTAACCAGTTAACTTACTGACAATCAGCAGATAAAGTTTAGACATCGTTATGTACATGAAGTACATTTTTAAAAAAATTATGTAAATTCTTCCATGTACATTTTCCACAGTATTAAGGGTTGTACTTTCTTTTGAAACTTAGATCAGCTGCATCCAAAAAGTATTAAATAAAACTTTTGAATACAGGTCATTTGCAGCATGTATACAAATTAGTTTAGATAAATCATGCATTGTCCTACAAACTAGTTATTTCTGGCTTATTGTAATATAGCTCCTGAATTTTTTCCAGCAGCATAATAAAATGGCTAATCAGGTGAATGGTAATGCGGTACAGTTAAAAGAAGAGGAAGAACCAATGGATACTTCCAGTGTAACTCACACAGAACACTACAAGACACTGATAGAGGCAGGCCTCCCACAGAAGGTGGCAGAGAGACTTGATGAAATATTTCAGACAGGTATAATATGCATTTCTTGTTTCTGACTGGTTATGAAAGTGAGGGCATACCATTTTCAAATTTTTATAGATTAAGGTTTAAAAATTCATTGTTTTTGATCTGTGTAGCTCTGAATGTTTTGCTACTTTGACTTCCCTAAAGGCAAATTGGGTTTGACATTGACTAATTACTTGACACATCCTTAGTGTTGTATGTGATATCTTAGTTGCTTTAGGGCACAGAGCACTAGTTTCTTTAGACGCTGTCAAATAAAGATGTATGTTTGAGCATACTAAACTGTACATTATTTTTTTTTCTTCAATCCGAATCATCATTTTGCTTTTACTTTTCTACTGTCAACTCCTCACAGTGGTTCTTAAACACTCAAAGGCTGGATAGGTGACTTAGTGAGGGAAGCAACTAGCTTGTCTTGCCTGGGACTACATTTGAATTGAGTCTGCCTGTGGATTTTTTGTTCTCTCTAGTTCTGAGTGGACAGTCTAATCCATGTTGGTTATTACACTGAAATGTTCAGTTTGACACTCACTGCCTTTCAACAAAGTTGAGGACTAAGCTATCTAGCAAATCGAGTAATACCTTGCTGGTAGCAAGTGGTCTCTGCAACTTCTAGAGAGGTTTCTTTATATACAAAGGTTTTTCTATTTTGTTTTTGTAACCCCCTTATTATTTTGTCCTATAGACAGAGGCTTCCTTTTCCTTTTTAGAGTGTGTTCTGTGAACAGATTTACAAGAAGCAGTAGAAATGCTTTCTGCGCTGATCTTGAATGCCTCGGTGGCAAGATGACAGTTTTTGTTGAAAAGAGTCAAAATTCCACTGATCAAGTGAAGGCAGTTCAAAAACAATACCTTACCAATCTTCAGTATGATACTCTGGCTCACGTGGATGATGTCTTTTGGAAGTCATTCACAGTGAGCTTTCATCAAGCCTTTACCAGCTTTTATTGGCTTTAGACACGCACTTTCTAACTGTGGGTCACAATGATGTGCACTTGATGGTTTGAGAGAAGGTGTAAATGCCTGGGCAGAGGAACTTGTGGGGCTCTAACATGTGTTGCAGTTAGGTTGTGTTGTGAGGAGTTCTCAAGGGATTTAAAAGCTTTTCAGCCCAGAACCTGACTACCTAGTATAATTCCACTGCATGAGTAACCTGAAAACATTTATTCACACTTCCTTAATGCCACTGAAGATGTTTGCATTGTGCAGGGGTTTGTCAGCGAAGCAAACTACTTTTGACACCCGAGCTAAATTTGGGGTTGAACTTTGGGATTTTTAATCTGCTGAGGTCTTATATGAAAGATACAGGTGCCTTCCAATATGCAGGATCACTTCTGAAATGTAGTCCTTGGGCTTGGCACTACTGTGCATTTTTGAAATCAAGTAGCAGTTAAATAATCTGTGTATTTTGGAGATGAAGCTGTTGCAAAGTGTGTGGAGTTCTTGGTATCTGTCCTAAATTTCATTGTGTAGCTTAAAAAGTGCAAATCTTAGTCTGTACTTCTCATGCTCCACAGCTTATGCAAGTGCATTACAAAAGGAAAGAAATCACCTGTAAAGATTCTTAAACAGAAAAAGTGCTTCAGAACTGGTCCAATGTTTCTTGGGGGAGTCTGTACCTGTAAAATTAACATTAGCCTTTTCGGGTACATAGCAGGGCTCGAAATAGTACCTTTTTGAATTCTGGCTCTTGAACTGCATAGAGCAACAAAATGAATAAAAAAGAAAAAAAAATATATTTTAGACGTACAGGTAGTCCACTGATTTTTGCTTTTTGAAGTTGGAGGAAAGAGTGAACAAACCATTCTACTTCCTAATATTTTGTGGGGTAGAGTTTCATAAGTATTTGATTGTCAGTTAGGTAGCTCTTTTTTCATGTACAATAGGATAACTGTAACGTTCACGTGTCAGCTTACTCTAGAACAGCTCCATTCAAGAGAAGGAAGTGTGAAACTTAAAATGAAAGACAAACAAACAAAATCCAAATTATTAGAAGTGAGCCAGAGTTCACTGTTTCAAATCCTGGTGTGTAATACTGCTTTTATGCAGCAGATTGGATTCCTGAATGTTAGAAAACTGTTACACATGGGGTATAATCTTGCACGTCAGTTAGTACTTAGGTATATACATTTTAATTTAACTTTTTTCATTGTTGTACTCATGTTCTTTCATATACTTGTGTAGGAATATGTAATTATATTAAATGTATAATTCTGTTGCTATGGAACATAACTTTTTGACTTTAAAAGCAAACTGCATAGTTCTTAGCTTGTATGAAATTCAATAGAAATCTGTAACTTCTTTATCTTTAACTTTTAGGGTTGGTAGCTTATGTCGATCTTGATGAAAGAGCAATTGATGCTCTTAGGGAATTTAATGAAGAAGGAGCCCTCTCTGTATTACAGCAGTTTAAAGAAAGTGACCTGTCGCATGTACAGGTAAGGTGAGAGCTCCAGGAGTGTGAGCACATAAGTATAAATAGTGTTCTGGCACTATTGGCAGGAGAGTTGTAACTTAGAAATTCATTGATGTTGCTGTATTCTAACATTTCAAACCCAAATCACAAGCCTGTTAAAAATTGCCTTAAATGTGTAGGTATTTGAGTGCAAAGCAAAAGCTTCCAGATAATAAAAATAAATGTGCTATTGAGAAAATAAGGTAAAAATACCACCTGGAATCTGACGATTTTTTCAGTCTGACAAGTTTGTTCAATTAATTGTTATATTTTTCTAAAGGATTCTTTTGCCGTTTTGTTTATTGCATTGGCTTGATATAGTGGCCTCACGGTATGGAGTGTAAGATTCGGTGGATTCCCAGGGCTTTTCATACGCACAATTGAATTATTTTGTAAATTGTATCTACAGAACAAAAGTGCATTTTTATGTGGAGTTATGAAGACCTACAGGCAAAGAGAGAAACAAGGCAGCAAAGTACAGGAATCAACGAAGGGACCAGATGAAGCAAAGATTAAGGTAAAATTTAGAAAATATTCATTATTCTGTACTACCTGATATATTACCTGTACACAGACTGAAGTAATTTTGGATGTACTTAAAAAGCATCAATATTACCTGGATAAGTATATTCACACTTGGCTTTAAAGAAATGTATGCGTGATAGAGATTCAAAGAGAGAGTGCTTGTTTGAAAAGCAGATCTTCCTGATTACACAATTGCCAAAATGCATGAACTTAATATTATGTAAGGTCTATGAAAACATTGATACCTATTTAAGAATTGTCTTAGTTGTCCTTTTATATTAAAGCTTTTACGCACTCATAAAATTACTTTGAGGCTGATTGGACATTTCGACAAGGTATTAGCATATTAAGAAGCATTTCTGTTGTGTAAAAACCTATGTACAGAGTGGGTGAAAAGAACTGCCTGATCTTCTGGAGTTCTTGGGGTACTACATATAAAGTGGAAAATAAGGGAAAAGAAAAACAAGTTCTTTCCAGTGACCTTGTAGTATAAAACAAATGTTGCTGTTTGTGGTGGTGGTTTTTTAAACCCCCAAAATAACACAGTTTTTTGCAGGTTCTGTCTGTCCATATATACCTTGTTATCAAACGTGGCAAGGAGCAGATAGGGAAATGCTTATCTTAGGACGCTTTTTTATTCTTTATATTTTAACCCACTATCCTCCCCCCCATAACTAATGTGATAAATTTTTTTCAGGCTTTGCTAGAGAGGACTGGTTACACTTTGGACGTAACTACTGGACAGAGGAAATATGGGGGCCCTCCTCCGGATACTGTATATTCTGGTGTTCAGCCTGGTATTGGAACAGAGGTTAGTATATACAGACCAATCTGTTATTTTGTATGTTTGTGCAAACTGATAAATAAGAAATAATTAAAAATATATATACAAGTGAAAGTTTAAAATATTGTAGAGGAAAGCATTCTTCTATGTTTGTGTGTCTTAATCGGTCTTTCTTACTCCTCTGTATTCTGCAAAAGACAGGATAATAGGTTGAGGGGGGAAAAGCAGGTGCCATATATTAGGAAAGGCTATGTAAAATTTCTTAAAATGTAAAATAGATCATTAAATTGTCAGACTTCATGGTCCACCCTAAAGCTTACGGTCCATCGCTTAAAAAGTGACCAATGTAGGTATTAGCTGTGTAGATACGTAAAAGTGTGACTCAAAGGTATTTGACTTTATTTACAACATAAAAGGAATTTAAGCGACAGTAGCAAGGTTTATTTTGTGCAATGTGCTGAAACTGAAAGAGGCTTGGATATTGTATAAAGATACTCACATAGAAAGTTTTGAAGAGGACAGCTGAGATTAGTAATTATTAAGGAATTGTTTATTTTCTTTTGTTTCAATCTATATGAAAACATCCTTGATGCTTGCATGGACTGGTAGTGAAACTACCACATTGAAAGAGTCCATGTAGCTTGTTTCCTTTTGTAAATTCTTGCATTTCTGCATTCAGAAAGGTGGCTTAGAAATTGTCTACCAACTCAGTGGTGTTGCCGGGGTGATTATGTGATGGTATAAAGTGTTATTTAATTGCACCATGCCTCACGGACATCAGGAAGCATTTCTTTACCAGGAGGGTGGCTGAGCCCTGGAACAGGCTTCCTAGAGAGGTGGTCAATGCCCCAAGCCTGTCAGTGTTTAAGAGGCATTTGGACAATCCCCTTAACAACATGCTTTAACTTGGTCAGCCCTGAATTGGTCAGGCAGTTGGACTAGATGATCGTTGTAGGTCCCTTCCAACTGAACTAGTCTATTCTATTTGTGACTGAAAATACTCGACTGATCTGAAGTATTTTGTCCTGTTGGTGATGGTTAGCCTCTTTAGGAAGTCACAGGAAAGCTGTAAAGTTGGTTGTGCTTTAATACTACTAAGAGTAAAATTTTATACTTTTAAGTTTCCTGATGCTTGGTAGAACGGGTAACTCGTGGAAACTCCCTTAAGATAAGAACATAAATACTTCTCTCATGAATCAGCATTAAAGGCTGTAGCAAAACCCAGCCAACTAGTTATAGAAACCATACCTCTACCAAATTAATTTATTGCTGGCATTTTGTAGGATTTACAGACTGATTACTGCTTTAAGACATGCTGCTTGGTTTGACTGGCTGAGATGCTGAACACCTTGCTGAATTTTATAGTTTATATATATATAGTTTATATATATATAGTTTATAATTTATTAAATTTAGTCTTTAGCTCTTGCTGTTGAGCTCTGAGGCATAGTAATCAACAGCTTAAACATGATCTTATGATTTGGTAGACTAGGCGGAGCATGTTTGAATATAAGTGACTGGAGATTATTGCGGCACCTTTTTTTCCTGGAATGAGGTGGGTGTTTGTTGTTGTTGTTTGGTTTTGTTCCCCCCCGCCTTAAGCTTTTGAGAACCACTTCTCTTTTGTCCTCAACACTTCTGGTTATATGGGAGTGTAAATGCCACTTTTCTAATATTGTGGGTAAAAAAAATGAAAAAACACAAGATGTATCCCTTTGGATTGTGGCAGTGAATCTTTTGTGTTTGAAACATTTAAATAATACTGAAGCTCTCATAACTTGTGCCAGCTCGGATATCTTGATGCCAGAGCTGTCACTGATGTCAGTAATGGCAAACTTCTGGTTTCTAAGGATACCCAAGTACTGAGGACTTTTTCTGATTTCGAGAAAGTACAAACTAAGGAAACCCCCCCCCCCCCCCCAAGATGTATCAGATCTTTCTACTGTAAATATTTTTACACCAACTAATTTGTCTTTTTAAAACATAAAGTGGAATTCATTACGTTAACTGTAGCTTTAACGCTCTTTCAATATGCACTTGAACATTGTACAGTAAAACTGAAGTATTGATAAATAATCTTACAGATGTTCAGTATGTTGAACATTCACAAATTGTCACAGGGAACATTTTGCTGAAAGCATTATGTGGGTGAAGCTGTCCAATGTATTTTTTCAAGTGGGTGGGCTTTAAGAGCAGCTGGACCTTTTGGGAATGTGATTCTGTAGTAAAGACAAAGTAGTTACAGCTGTGCGGAAGCTTGGAGGAGAAAATAATTGCAATTGGATTTGATATTAAACTTGAGTATTCGTTTTGTTTAAGGACTTGCTGCTCCAATGTAAAGCATTTTGCTTATAGTGAGGCCACATGATGTTGATACTTGGAGACATTTATGGGAGTGTTTATCAGATGAGAACAGAAGCAATTATTTGGGTGTTTCTTTCTCTCCTTACACTGGCTTTGTCATTTGCATCTGCAAACATTGGTAACTGCTTATCCTCAAGGGGCTTTTTTTTGTGCTCCTTTTGTTTTGCTTAAAATTTCTAAGATCTCTTTTCTCTGCTTTTTCTTACCTCCTGTTACACCAGCTGTTCTTAAAGATGATCGGAAGGTTTTTAAAGATTCCCCCCCAAAGGACAAAGTCTATTCAGTAAGCACATCAGGAAATTCAAGGTCATGATTGAACCCATGCATCTTGCTAACAAGCTATGAGCAAACTTCAGTTTGGTTATGAAAATTCTTGAGCTCTGTATTTCCTCGCTTACCTGTTCTGCAAGGTTTTGGTCCCTAGCAGGTTGTTTTGTAGTTTATTCTAAACACTTTGAATACTCTCAATCACACTGTTGTGACTAGTCTTTGATACAGGAGTTCTTTTGGAGATTCTTCTATAAGCCACCAGATTAGATGTAAGAAAACGGCCAACTTCTTGAACATCTTTCAGTTTATAGATTATTTTTGTATCCTTTGAGATGCTGAAGCTTTTGTGTATACCATCAAGAAGATGCTTAGAAGCATCACAGTAAGGATGATTTCTAAGGGAAGTATTCATATTCCATGAAGAAAAATAAATTCCTTGGTGGGAGGAAATAATTAGAATGGGTCCTTGAACTGAAAGATTTGCTTAGGTATGCTTGCTGTGTGCTAATTGTAGTTTATCATTTTACTAAAGTGTATACACAAGCAATGCTGAAAAAAGAAGGTTTTTTGTATTCTTAAATCCCATTTATTTACACAAAACTACTTTGAGTTGTCTTATTGTGGTTGAAAATAAACCAGCTGTTCAGCAGCATTGGAAGACACATAGACAGTAGTAACTTCTACATAGCAATTTCAGTAACTTTTGAAATTAAGTGTAGACAAGACAAGAAAAGAAAATGTTATAAATATTTCACTAAATTCAGTCACAGCAAGGAGGAGTTTGTTTAAGTGTATAAGGAACAAAAAGGAATTTTAGTCATAAGTCCACTACTATAGTCAGAGATGATGAAGCTTTCATGCAAACAAAACAAGCATTCAGTGTTTCAGTTGGATAATGCTGGATGGTAAATCCATCGTATCTGTAGTGTCTGCATTTGTGGGTAATACCTAATGAGGTTGAGCTGTATATTTTTCACTCCTGATCTTCAGTCTGCTGACTGAGGAGCTTTTGGTTGTTAAATTCAGGAAAACTGAAGGATCATTCTAATTTTTTTTTCTTTAGAGGAGGGTAAAAAAAAATAATCTGACATTCATATGGCCTGACCAGACTAATGTTACACCAAAAGTTAAGGAGGTGACTGATGTGGTATTTGACTTCCATCCTTCACCTTTTGGTGTAAATGAATATAATACTATTTAAGATGTGGTTTGAAGAACAGGAGGCTTCATTGGTAACTGTAAAATACCAGCCCTTTACCCCACTATAATAGGGATAGGGGGAAAGCATTTTTCAAAATTAGCACAGTACAACTAGTGTGAAGAGAGTAATGAACTTAAGTTTGTACTGATTGCTGGATTGGTTTCAGTTTTACTGAGGGTCTCCAGATAAAGTAAGTCCTACTCCTAAAGTTTTGAGAGACTTCTATTTCAGTGTTTTTCAGTGATGTGAAATAAAAACTTGAAAATTCTGTAAATAGATTATTTGACCATAATGCTAAGATGATGTGCAAGGTTAGAGATCTATATAACAGCTTAGACTGTGTAAAATGGAGGAATTGCTACATGTCCTTTTCAGAGCTGAAATTTATTGGATAAGTATATGGTAAACATCTTTGAATGTTATCAAAAATGCAGAATTACTTTTAGCTCTGTGAATGGTAAGTTGGTATTGCATCTGCTCCTCTGTGGGTGCCTGGTCAGAATTTGTAACAAAAAGTCAGAGAAGGGTTGTGAGGCTAACTTGCAATCTGGAGAATGTTATGTTATTGGAGATGTTGGGGCAATTTAAACTGCTTTTGTCCATAATAAATTGAATGAGAAGAATCAGATACTGTAATAACTCTAACTTAAGAAGCAACGGTATGATAAACTCATCAGGAGTTGAACTAGACAAAGCTTGTGCTGGATTTAGTACACAAATGGAATGTTGCTTTTGTACTGGAAGAACTGTGGGGGTTCAAAGGTTTTTGCACTGTGCCAGAATTTTTTTCCACTTCCATATTTTTTTAATGAAGATTGTAGATTTGGATGAGATGAAGCAGTCATGTGGCCTACATTAATTAACACTTAAATCTGGTATTTAGGAAAGATTGACTGCAAAGCACATGAAGAGCACTATTAAAAGGAGAAAGGTTTTGAAGAAGCTCTTGCAACACTGCAGTACACTTCTGTTAGCATGTGATGACAACAGAAGAGGCTCAGTTGTTGAAATAACTGGAGGACGCATCATCTAGAGTGCAGAAGTGGATTGCACCCCTCAATAATGCTCTGTAAAGTTATTCAGGAAACTGAAATTGAATTTTTTCCTAGTTAAGACTTTCATAATTAATCTTCTAAAACAGTAATGAGGAAGTAGTAAAAGGGACTATTTTGTACAGGTCTTTTAGGAAGCAAAACTGGGAAAAGTAAGTCTAATGGTCAGTGATCCCAACAAAAGCCCAGAAGTGATGCAGTTGCATCCTACTTAGACAAGATCTCTTATATTGTTTCACTGATGATGGCAGTTTCCAAATTTTTTCCACAGTACTCTTGTTGTGGAACTAAAAAATGAAACAAGACATCTGATATTTACATTCTTTGGTATTTCAACAACTTTATTCAAGCTTATCAACATATCTAAAAAAAGTTATTAGAGGTGTTTTTTCTGACCCTTGCAAGATGTTCACCTGGTGTTTGTCATGTCTAGTATTGATCTTGTAGTTCATTAACATATTAAGTTTACAGGCTCAAAGCAAATTCACTTAGATGTGAATTACTCCCACAGAGTTATCTAGTCCTTCCGTTGTAAATGGAAGTTACTCTAGAATATAGGTCAGATACGAATGTATTCAAATTAAATCCTTAATTCTGTTTCTCATACTAGCTCCTAGAGTGTATTACCTGAACTGAACTGTAGTAGCAGTCTTGTGGAATTGTCAGTGTTCTGAAGTTTGTAGAAAGTGAGCCGAACAGACTGGAAAGAAAAGAGGAAACAGAAGCTTTCAGGATGGTAAATCTTTGGTAAATAGCTGGAAAAACAGACTTTGTCTGGATTAGGGCTTTTTCTTTTTCTCAAGTCTTTTGTTCTGGTGTGTCACCTTCAGTTTCTGCTGGAAACAGTGGCATCTGAAACAAAGAATTTAACGTGGACTTTTTACATTTGAGTGACTTAAAAACAGTTACGGTTTGTGGAGACTTCAGCTGACAGTTTCATTGTCTTAGTAGCAAGTTGGAGTTCCTGTCTTGTGCACTTCCATGATAGTATCAGTTGTTTGTCTTTAAAAACTGTGCATGGGTTTTGGGATGAAATGTTCTAGGTAATGACAATGGAAATACCTATCTGTAGGGATTTCTAAGCTTTTCAGGGAGACGGGGAGCCTGTTGGCTCTGCCATTAGATTTTCACTCAGTATGATAAATCTGTTCCTTTTTTTTTCCCCGTAACAGCAAATAAGTCATGGTCAGTTGGCATTCACACAGAGAGGCTAAGCTAAGTGAAAGAAATGTTCTGGAAACTGAATTTCGGGAATATCTGTATAACAAGAAACATCTAGCTTTCCTTTGGGGGAAAATAATTTGTTCCACATTTTTTAAATCAGAGTCATCACGCTCTCCTCATGGGTTTGTTCATATCAATGCTTACATGGGCATTCTGAGTGTCTTCAGTTTTGGAATTACCTGCTAAGCTTTTAGTACCAGATATCACTCTGGCAAGACCTTGCCCAGATGGAAAAGGTTGACTTCTCCTAGCTTTTTTTACTACAAAAAATATTTGTAGTTAAAATAAATAGAATTTGATCTTAATGGATGTTTGGAATGTTTTGCTTGTATTAGCAATTCAGAGATTTTGAGAATTCAGGGGAGAGCTGCAGTGATGAAACAATTTGGGGGGGCTGAAACTTTCTAGGGAGACCTCGGCTGAAGAGATTAAACTCCTTAACAAAACTTTACCAAAGTTTATTGTCATCGCTCTATGTAAGGAACAAAAACATGAGGACTCCAGATTTTCTCAGACAAATATTAAAACATTCAGTTGGTGGAAGCTGAAACAAATCCAGACTAGAAATAAGATTACAGTTTATATTAAAAGTGGAAAATATGCATCAGGCAATTTAAGGATTTTTGTAGATTTTTTTTTTCCCCAGTCCCTGTAGCTTTCTAATGAAGATTGGGCTACAGAATGCTTTGAAATTACAGCAAGAGCAAGGATGTGCTTGGCCTGCTTTAATATAGGATACCCAACTACATAGTGTGTAAGGTCTTTGTTTTTAATTGCCAAAATTATAACCAGGTAAGAATACTTTACTACTTCAGTGGTGGAAATTTACCACCTCTTCATTATAAATAGCAAAACCAGGTTTTCCATATGTAAAACTTAGTACTAACAGTGGGAGGTTTAGACGACTTGGTAGGATATACAATAATGTTGGCTGCAGTGATGGCTACAGTGTTTCTGCTGTGATGGTTTATTGTGCAATATACTTCCTTTCCCAGGAACTTTCAAGTATTAAAAGTAAGTTTGGATTTCTGAAAAAACTTTGTTTAAGTGTCCTCTTCCTTTTTAGGTTTTTGTTGGTAAGATTCCCCGAGACCTGTATGAAGATGAATTGGTACCACTCTTTGAGAAAGCTGGCCCAATTTGGGATCTGCGCCTCATGATGGATCCTCTTTCTGGTCAAAACAGAGGTTACGCTTTCATTACCTTTTGTAGTAAAGATGCAGCACAAGAAGCAGTCAAACTGGTGAGTAACTTATTTTTAGAGTGTACAAGATAATATAAACAGTAAGCATGTTGGTAATCTCTTAGATAATGAAGTCTTTGAAGTGTTTCATTAAAGCATCCATTGACAGATTCAAAATTTTACTTTCTTAAAAATTGCCTTCAGGTTTGATTTAATATATAAAAAGTAATGTTCTACTTTTAGGACCGTAGTCTGCTATAGCCTACTGCAGTCTGCTAGAGTACTTGGGTGATTATAGTAAGAGGTTTCTTGATTACAGCTGGAAAATACATTCTTTAAGCTTCACTGCATTTAAGTTTTATCACCCTTCCTACTATAAACAGCAAATTAGAGATGCCTTGTTTTGCTGCCGTGGAGGAGGTCTCTGACTTTGTGCTCTTTATGGTTCACAGTGGCCTTTAGTTCTTTCCAATGGCAGTCATGCAGTCAGCTCACTACATGGAAACCTGACTTGGCCTGCATCTAGACGGTTTGGCAAAGGACACGGAGCAATCTCTAGAGAGTGAAAATGAGAGACAGCAGTCTGATTGGGGCCCTGGTTCATTTGGCCTTGCCTCTGCCTGAGAGGAGGAAGTAGAATTAGGCAGATCAATGTGTATCTCCTAAGGTTTTGGATATGGCTGTGAAATACTGCTTGTACTTTGAACCAAAACAGATGAAATGCTTTATCTCATTTGCCTTAGCAGAATTCAGCTGATCCTCTATGAAGAAGGGGGGGAAACCCTAAACATCTAGTTAAGCTGGGGGGGAACCCCACCGAAACCTAGAGAAACTTAAGAAGTGATTCTGTTGCATTGTAAAGGCTTCAGAAGGAGTCATTGCTCTAAATGTTCCAGTGTTTGTCCCTTAAATATTTTCATGTATTTAGAAACAGTTGCAGTTATGTTAGGCTCTTCCAGGACTGGGAATTGCATGTCCCTGCTTAGGCTGTCTTTCCTTTCTAGAACCTACTTGGATGTTTATTGAAGGAGATGCACAAAATATGTTTTTGCAATTGATTGCTTCTGGGTTTCAGTGTTTGAAGATGGTGGAAATTGTTGTGAAACTTTTTTCTTTTTTTGACCAAGTTGAAGGTGCTCAGAGTTGTTACTTTAAATTTTTACTAATTGAGGGAGATGAAAGGGAAGATGCTGAAGTGACAGGAGATAGAGCAAGCGATGTGCCACTGATGGAAGACTGGCCTCCATACCCTAGATATTGCACCAAATAAGTGAATTTGTGTGAATACATTCCTTAAGTCCTGTATCTGGATTCCCTTCCCCCTACCTCCTCCACCCTACCACTATCCAGTAATGGGGCCAGGCTTTTATTTAGGTAAAATATTTTCCACAGACTACTGGGGGAAAGGAAAATGGAGCAGACACATGCTGAATTTTGGAGCTAATTAAACCTCGATAGCAAAGTGAGGTTCTTTCAGAAAATAAACTTGAAATTTTGAAGCCTTGGTTTCTTTACACGAGGTGGGCCTTCTGCTTGTGTTTGCAGGATAGCCTGTGGTACCTTAACGTTGTTCTAGTTTTTGAATATGAAGAAGGTTACTGAAGGTATTGCTCTGTCATCTGTATGGCTACGTCTCAGCTAGGGTAAAAATGGCTGAAAACTTGCTTTTAAAGAATTGGATGAGATTTTCAGAAGCTGGCTGATGATCAAACATCCATCCTCTTAGGTTGTGTTTGAAAATCCTACCCAAAACAAAAATGATGTCTATCTTGAATTCTTTTTTTTTTTTTTTTTTTTTCCTGTAAAAGGTTGAACTCTTGTACCTTTAAAGACCTATCGGGAGTTGGTACTCAGAGTAATCCAACTGTGGGCACAAGCATGAAGCAGTGGGCTAAATTTTTTTTTTTTAATGGGAGGTTTTAAAACTTACCAGTAAAATTTATAGAGTCCTAGCATTTACAAGGTCCAAAAAATCCCTGCGTTGGGGGTGGGGGGAACAAGGTCACACACTGATTTAGACTTCCAAGTATCTCACAGCAAATATGCTCAGTGTTTAAAAGTTACCAAAGTGAAGTGAGAGAACTCATAGTATCTATAATGCTATGTATTTGCTTATTAATAACAGCAGCAATGACTGACATTGAGTCGTAGCACAGGAAGCAGTTACCAATTGTCTAGAAAGATCTTTCCACTCTGAGACAAATAGTAGGTGAATGAATTCACCCCATGCAATTTATATCTGTTACATGTTGTTCCTTGTACATCAGTTTCTTTGTAGCTTTCTATTCAGCAGAACTTCCGAAATTTCTATGGAAAACCGAAGCTCGGCGATGTTCTTCCAAGTGAATGCTGACCCAAATACTGCAGTTCTAGTAATTCTCTTGCAATGTGAATTCAATATGCTATGTATAAAAATAGTAGATCATGAAGAAAATATCCACAAAATCATAAAATCAGCTCTTTTTATCCATATTATTGTGGATAAAGTAAATGAATGGCTTTTTATTTTCTCAGTGTGACAACTATGAAATCCGTCCTGGGAAGCACCTTGGAGTATGCATCTCCGTGGCAAACAACAGGTTATTTGTTGGGTCAATTCCAAAGAACAAGACTAAGGAAAACATATTGGAAGAGTTCAGTAAAGTCACAGGTAAGACCTTCTTAACGAGTTTGTCACACTGATCCCAAAATACCATTCAGTGTTTTGTAGGTCTAGTTATTTGGCAGATGCGTTCAGCTATCATTTAAACTATTTCCAAGTTTGTTTCTAGTAGAAATTTTATATATCAAATATATTTTATGGTGGAGTGTAAAGGGACTAGTGTCTGTTTTACTGATTGTTAAATGAAAGATGTTGTAGGTTTACAATTTGAGATGGAAACAGCACAAATGAACTCAGAAAAAAAAAGTGAAGGTCCTAATTATGTTACCTGTTGTAGCTTCCTGTTGAAGGCTCTGTATTTGTAACTGGTTCTACAGTAGATTCTGCTTTCACAACTGAGAAGTTTTTGGGGAGCCTCAAACAAATGTATTGTTGAGGAACGATGGGGAGGAGGGAATACTAACTCAATTTAGAGGGAATGTTATTGTAGAAATAATGACATTAATTTCTGTTCCAGTTCTTCAGTGTTGTTCCCCAGTATATGCAGCATGTAGGAACAAAAGAAGTCAGCTCATCACTGGAATGGTGCTTCTGCTTTAAATAAGAGATTGAAGTCTTGATTGCCTGCTCTTGTTCCTGTAGGAGAGTTTTAACCTACTGCTTCTTTTTTAGGATTGCTATTTATAAGTACTTCAGGGAAATGGTGAAAACAGAAGGTGAATATTCATTTAGTTCTCTCCTCTTTTTGGAGAGATGTGGAAGAAATTCTTTCCAGCTTCTCCTGGAGGTGGGGAGATGCCACGTATTAATGCTGACTGCTTTTCAAATATGCAAAAATGGTAAAACAAAATATAGGAAACTTACACTGTGTGAACTGTTCAGGTTGATGTTTTGCAGGGCGTAATTGTGAGGTAAGTTTGTTCTGAAGAATTTCACTTGCTAGGTGACCTGTTTCTGGGTAAATTGGATGAATATCTGTTATTTGTTTTGCTTTTCTTGTGCTCCCTTCTCCCCCTTTCAGGTGTTAAATTCAAAGGCTGTGTATTACAAAAAACAAGTGAAGGCATTTTAGAGTACACTCTAGATTTTTTTTTTTTCCCTCCTTCCTTTTGAAGCTTAATACTAAAGACCTGTTTTTCAGAGGGTTTGGTGGATGTAATCTTGTATCATCAACCTGATGATAAAAAGAAGAATCGAGGATTCTGCTTCTTGGAATATGAGGATCACAAGTCAGCAGCACAAGCTCGCCGCCGCCTGATGAGTGGGAAAGTAAAAGTCTGGGGAAATGTTGTGACAGTGGAGTGGGCTGATCCGGTAGAGGAACCTGATCCAGAAGTCATGGCAAAGGTAAGTAAAAACTTAACTGGATGCTCTTGTGCTTTGGGAGGAATTTCTTTATGCCATAGCGACAAAGATTTGTTCCAGCTGAGCAATGCTAGTTTTGAGGCACGAAAAGCAGTTAGAGGGCATTTTCGTAGTAAGCCATGCAAACTGGTGTGGTCTGAGCATTGCAGATTAGTTGCCTGTGTAACATGTTAGGAACATGCTGTTGTAACTGACCATTCACATTTAAACTAGTAGTGTACAGGATTGTCCTACTGGATTGGCATGTCAGTCTGTTCATTATCTGCTTCTGTTGATAATGAATACTAGATGGGTGTTTTGTAAAACTAGTTTCCAGACTGAGGTGAAGGTGAAGTTCAGCGTAGGGAATGACGTGCTCTTTATCCTTGTGTTTTGGGATAACTCTTTGCTGCTCTTGAGGTCTACTACTAAAATTTTACTGGGATTTGTAGTATCCCAGAAGCAGAAAATCTAAGTTGGATATTCTTCTGGTCATGGAAGGGAACTGTGGAAGGAGAGAAGTTGTAGGAACTTCATACAGGTAACTACAAGCTCGCTCGCT